CCCCCGTGTCCCCCCAGGTGCATTTCCTGCGCCAGGGCTGCGGCGATGACAAAATCTGCCAGAGCCACCTGGAGCTGCGGCCGCGCTTCTGCGCCCGCCTGGGCGACAGCGACTTCCTGCCCCTGCCCAGGTGAGGGGACAGCGGCCACCTCCGTGTCCCCAGCGGCCACCTCCGCGTCCCCAGCGGCCACCTCGGTGTCCCCAGCACCCCCCGGGGGCGAGGCTGGCACGGCCACCTCACCGTGGGTGATCGGGGATGTCCCCAGGGCAGTGACAGGGGAGGGGATGGCACTGCCACCTTCACCCTGAGTGACAGGGATGTCCCCAAGGCTGGCACTGCCACCTTCACCCCGAGTGACAGGGATGTCCCCAAGGCTCTCACAGGGACAAGGCTGGCACTGCCACCTCCCCCCGAGTGACAGGGATGTCCCCAAGGCAGTGACAGGGGACAGGATGGCACTGCCACCTTCACCTTGAGGGTCAGGGATGTCCCCAAGGGTCTCACAGTGACAAGGCTGGCACTGTCACCTCTCTCTGAGTGACAGGGATGTCCCCAAGGGAGTCACAGGGGCAAGGATGGCACTGCCACCACTCTGTGAGTGACAGGGATGTCCCCAAGGCTGGCACTGTCACCTTCACCCTGAGTGACAGGGATGTCCCCAAGGCTGGCACTGCCACCTCCCCCCGAGTGACGGAGATGTCCCCAAGGGAGTCACAGGGGAGAGGATGGCACTGCCACCTCCCCCCGAGTGACAGAGATGTCCCCAAGGCTGGCACTGCCACCACTCTGTGAGTGACAGGGATGTCCCCAAGGCTCTCACAGGGACAAGGCTGGCACTGCCACCTCCCCCCGAGTGACGGGGATGTCCCCAAGGCTCTCACAGGGACAAGGCTGGCACTGCCACCTTCACCCCGAGTGACGGGGATGTCCCCAAGGCTCTCACGGTGGCTCTGCCCGCAGGGACGAGGATGGCACTGCCATCTTTGCCATCAGTGACCAGAAGGACGTGGCCCTGGAGGTGCAGGTGACCAACGAGCCCTCGGACCCCTCGGAGCCGCAGAGGGACGGGGACGATGCCCACCAGGCCCTGCTGGTGGCCACCTTCCCCCCGGAGCTGCCCTACGNGCCCTGGGGGTCCCCTCCATCCCTGAACATCCCCCCCATCCCTGGGCCCTCCCAGGACCCCTCATCCCTTGGGGACCCCCCAGCCCTGAACTGCCCCCATCCCCAGCACCCCAATTCCCGAGCACCCCAATTCCCGAGCACCCCAATTCCCGAGCACCCCCATCCCCAGGAGTCCCGATCCCCTGGGGTGCCCCCTTCCCCCATCCTCTGGGGTCCCTCCCGTATCCCCAGGACCCCCCAGTGCCCCCCCAGTGACCCCCCCGTGCCCCCCAGAGCTGCAGTTCGTGCTGGAGGGGGACTCGGAGCGGCCCAGGCGGGGGCAGCCCCCCCGGGGCTCCTTCCTGGGCCGGGGTCCCTCCGAGCCCGAGCACCGAACCTCGGGGAGCCTCGAGCTGCGGGGACAGCGCGAGCGGCGCTGCGTGAGCGACACCTTCCGGCTGCGCGTGCGTGCTTCGGCCTCACCCTCCTCACCCTCCTCATCATCACCATCCTCACCCTCCTCATCATCACCTTCCGGCTGCGCGTGCGTGCTTCGGCCCCACCCTCCTCATCATCACCTTCCTCATCCTCAGCCTCCTCATCCTCACCTTCCTCATCCTCACCTTCCGGCTGCGCGTGCGTGCTTCGGCCTCACCCTCCTCATCCTCCTCATCATCACCTTCCTCATCCTCAGCCTCATCCTCCTCACCTTCCTCATCCTCACCTTCCGGCTGCGCGTGCGTGCTTCGGCCTCACCCTCCTCACCCTCCTCACCCTCACCCTCCTCATCATCACCCTCCTCATCCTCAGCCTCATCCTCCTCATCCTCACCTTCCTCATCATCACCTTCCGGCTGCGCGTGCGTGCTTCGGCCTCACCCTCCTCATCCTCCTCATCCTCACCCTCCTCATCCTCACCTTCCTCATCCTCACTTTCCTCATCATCACCCTCCTCATCCTCACCTTCCTCATCCTCACCTTCCGGCTGCGCGTGCGTGCTTCGGCCTCATCATCACCCTCCTCATCCTCAGCCTCATCCTCACCTTCCTCATCCTCATCTTCTTCCTCATCCTCATCTTCATCTTCATCCTCATCCTCACCCTCCTCATCCTCACCCTTCTCATCCTCACCTTCCTCATCCTCACCTTCCGGCTGCGCGTGCGTGCTTCGGCCTCATCCTCCTCATCCTCGTCCTCATCCTCATCCCCATTCTCATCCTCCTCACCCTCACCTTCCTCAGCCTCCTCCTCTTCCTCACCCTCCTCAGCCTCAGCTCTGTCCTCCTCCCCATCTTCATCCTCCTCCTCCTCCTCTTCAT